AACGATTTGGACGATCTGAGCGTTCGACGCTCAGATCGTCCAAATCGTTCAAATCGCGCTGCTCTAATCGCGCTTGAGGCGCCGCAGAACTTCCCGACGTTGCTTGAAGCGCGTCCACCATAGACTTTGTATGTAAACCTGCTGCTCCTGACACTGAAATCGCGTTTGGTGTGAACGCACCATTATCATACACAGTTAAATTCCATCATTTCTTATCATTAACAGCTAAAACGTCATCATTTCTTACCATAAACAGCTAAAACTCCAAAATTTCTTATCACAAACAGCTAAAAGCCATCATTTCTTAACATARACAGCTAAAATTCCATCATTTCTTATCATACACAGTTAAATTCCATCATTTCTTATCATAAACAGCTAAAACGCCATCATTTCTTAACATAAACAGCTAAAACGCCAACATTTCTTATCATAAACAGCTAAAACTCCAAAATTTCTTATCACAAACAGCTAAAATGCCATCATTTCTTAACATAAGCAGCTAAACTCCATCATTTCTCATCATAAACAGCTAAAACTCCAACATTTCTCATCATAAACAGCTAAAACTCCAAAATTTCTTATCATAAACAGCTAAAATTCCATCATTTCTTATCATAAACAGCTAAAACGTCATTGTTTCTTATCATAAACAGCTAAAACTCCAAAATTTCTTATCATAAACAGCTAAAAYGCCATCATTTCTTAAGCAGGGGTGATAAGCCTTCTTTCAGGATATGCTGGACTTTAGAGATTAGAAGTGTCAGAAAAATTACATCGGTCAGAAATTTTAATAAAAATTTGTTTTTATTTGGAAGAAACTGGAACCAGGAATTAGTCTGAGCTGTAGCATGTAGAATAAAAGTTAAAAAATATATTAATTTGGATTCCTAAAAAAACAAAAATATCCTATTTATGTATCATAAAAGCTTTAGAGCGACGAGCAAAACAAGACAAAAACACAAACAATAACCACTCGACCTTTAGTCCCTCTGACTCTGACGCCAAATTATCCTTCAGCCGGATTTTTACATCAATTTTTAGTAAAATTACGAAACGTTAAGAGCTGTTTTAGGGTCCTGTCAATCAAACAAATGTAGYGGTTACATCATTGTGTAATCCTCAAACATTAATCCCTTTGTTCTTCCAATATTACTGAATCAAAATGATCAAAACATGAGCATAAATCTCACAGAGGCTGTTTATCCTCTGCTTTCATTTAAAATATAAAGATCATGCTGTTTAGGAGCAAAATGCCCACAAATTTATAAAAAACTGTAAGTTAAATCTCTTTTTTTCCCTCTATTTTAATGACTTTAACCTGGAGTTTATTCACTGTAGATCAGGGGTGTCAAACACTCGAGGGACAAAACTCAAAACCTGGTTCATAGGGCCAGTCTCTGTTAGGGTTAGGATTATATAACCCAATATATAGAAACACAGATTACCTTCCACMAATTATATATTATGTAGCATTTAGAGCATGCATAACCTAACAAACAAAGAGAAATGATTAAATTTAGCACAACACATCTAATCACATTGCAGAAAATCAGTTAAAAAAAGAGAAATCTCACAAAAAGTCCAATTATTTAGTTTAAAATGACAAAAAAAAGCCAATTAGAGCCAGTTTTCTGTCTCTTTTCACACCATAATCAGCAAAACACAGCAGCAAAAAGAGAAAACTATTTTACATTTAAAATATTACCTATGGGAACCGCTAAAATGTTAACGAGGGCCAGATTTGGCCCACAAGCCTAGGTTTGACACTGTGCTTGTACTTAAATACAGCCTAAAGTAAAACTTTAATAAATGTGGACATTTGGTTTAATATATGTTTTGTTTATCGACTAATGCTTGCTCGGATTTCTAAAATTAACACAAAAAAAACAACAACATTTTGGTCAACCTTTGTTCAAAAGCAGGTTTTTTTATATCTGAGGCACAAAGCTCCTCCGGTGATTTAATCTCCATTCAGCTGCAGCCTGACTGAACTCATTCAGAAAAAAGCAGGAAGCTCGTTTCAGAGTCACAGCCACCTCCAAGCAGATTATCTCAGCAGAGACGGACTCTGAGCGGCTCTTTCTGCAGCCTCTTCTCGGCATTAACGTTATCAAAGCTAAAAATTTAAAATAAGGGAAAGTGGAGCGCTAAYGGCATCGTCGCTGTGTTTGTTTGTTGTCGTTTTTTCCTGCAGCTCATCCCTCGTGCTGCATGTTTGAAGTCTAAACTGAACAGGATGAGCTGTGTGCCAAACGTCAGGCTCCAGATAACCTTCAGGCTGAAACACAGGAAGTTATTGTCTGGTTTGAGATGTTTTCATATCAAAAACAGAAAAAAAATATGTTTGTCTTAAGCCGTCTTTGTTTCCTGAAACAATCGAGATAAATTCAAACAAGAAGCAGAATAAACGCAAATTTCCTGAACCGTTTGCAGCTACCGTTATCGACTCACGCTAACAGATAGTAATAGCACCGCCTCAACTCAAATAACCAATGCTTCTGAGAGAGCGGGAAGCAGCAAGATCAAATGCMGTGGTGGACGTGGTTCCGCTAGTCAGCTAACAGCTAATAGCGAAACGAAGGTTTCGTTTAGTGGATAAGCTTCGTCACAAACTGTTAGCTGACCAAGTAGCTTCTGCTAAATTGTGTTTTGCCAACTTTAAGTCTGCTAACAGCTAACTAACAAGCTAACATCAACAGGTTTCTCAGTCTCACCAGTCTAAAGTTGAAACGAGAAGACGATGTGTGACGCTGAGCCACAGTCATCTCTTAGCTGATAGCGATTAGCTGTTAGTGCTAGCTTCTGCTAATTTTTTACTTGTTTAACAGTTTGGTATTAGCTTCCATTAAATTTATTTACATGTTTAACGGATTTGCATTTTCACCGACTTTGAAAACCGTTAGCGGACCAATTAGCTTCTGCAAAATTTGGGTTTTGCCAACTTTAAGTCTGCTAACAGCTAACTAACAAGCTAACATCAACAGCTTTGTGTCAGTCAGTGAGGATGATGTTTGATGCTAACTGAGCCACGGTCATCTTAGCAGTTAGCGATTAGCTGTTAGTGTTAGCTTCTGCTAATGTTTACTTGTTTAACTATTTAGCATTAGCTTCTGCTAATATTTTTTTTACATGTTTAGCAGTTTAGCGTTAGCGAAGCTATATTTTTAATTAGCAAATTATTAGCTGGTGAAGTTAACGGCTTGGCTAGCTGCACCTAACACTGATTAAATGTAAATATTTCACCAAATCACAGCAAATAATCATTTTGTCGTGTCTGATTTTTGCAACAGCTTCAGAATCGATCCACACATACAAACATAGCGTCCATGTTTACTTCTGTGAACACGGTGTGATGTGTGTGACATCACGTATTTTTTTGATGGTCGCTTTTTATATTGTATAACAAACTATGTAAAAAAGAAGAAGAATCTGACTTTAGCTCTAATACAAGTCATTTAACCAGATTTTTGTGGTTAATTGTTTGAGATAATTGTAAAGCTTTGTGTTAACTGTACTGAATTAGACTTTTATTTTGAAATATCGGGTTGGGTCAGCGTAATTTAGGCGAATTGGTGGTGATATTTCGGCACAAAAGCTGAATTAACTCAAATATATTAATAAACCAGCAGGTTCAACAGTAACGAACAACTTTTGCGATGTAACGCATAAAAAAATATAATCCCCAGTTGTCACCTCCGGGGTGCCGTAGTTTCTAACCCAGAGGTTTTCAGAATATATACAGTATATGTTTTCATTGCTTTGAACAAATTTTTTTAATGTTACATCAAAGTAGTGACAAAAAGCAGTAATTTATTCTAGTTTGTGTGTAAATGAGATTCACACCCAGTGGAAACCAGTTGTATCTAAATATAGATCTGGGTTAACAATCAATAAAGACAAGCATGCTCATCAGAGGAGGAGGAGGTCTGACTGGTTGTAATTAAGAGGTAATAACGGGTCTATAAGTGACCCTAAAATGTACATCTGGACGCCTGCAGCTGTGGGAGGCTTTGTGTTTGAAAACACATGATTATCTGGACCCAAACGCMAGCTGCTGAAATTCCCACACGGACCAGAAAGCCTCTGTTTGTCCAGTTTTTATCATTCGTGGTGCAGAGAGAGAAGCGTGTGATCTGAATCACAATAACAGAACCGAGCCTCCCTGGAAATGGACCTAGAGGAGGAGGAGGAGGAGGAGGGATGGTGGGGTTTTCTTTTTTCCTCCTTACCTAGTTTTATTTTAACGCTTTGGAAAACCCGAAGACCTTCTTCTTCTACCGCCATGGTCTCCCCGTGGCTCTCGCTCCCCTCGCGTCGACTGGATGGAGGTTCTGGTCCACGGTCGTCGGTTCTGGTTTCTCCAGCGGTTCGCGGATAGTCCAGGTGGGAGGAGGAGGAAGAGGGGGGAAGGTTGGTGGGTCACACATCGATGTTCCCCTGTCCGCTCTGTMCAGTCGCCGCTGCCGCTGTCTCACATCAAGTGAGAGCAGATTCAGCTTCTGTCCAGCAGAGGCGGCTGTGTGGGGAGTGGGGGGCGTGGCTTAACTCGACTCCACCCACAATTATTGTATGCAGTAAGTTCGGTGCCCAGAGCCAAGCTCAGCTTCGAAACGAGCTTCGAAACAGCAGCGGCAACATGGAGGGCGTGGTTTAATTTAACCCCGCCCACCAAATATGTATGCTGGATAATCCATGCCAGCGGTGTCATTGAGGGCAGAAGACATGCAGTGAGTCACAAGTGCAGCTGTATTTAAAAAAAAAAACTTCAGAGTGTAGACAAAAGTGATTATTTTTCGGGCAAAGTTTTAATTTACCAAACACAAGTTTCTGTTTTATTAAAATTCTTAACAAAATAATAAAATAAAAATTAAAGGCTTGTTACTTTTTGTGACAAAGTTTAAAACTTAAATCACCTCANAAATAATAAAATAAAAATTAAAGGCTTGTTACTTTTTGTGACAAAGTTTAAAACTTAAATCACCTCAAATCATCAAAGGACTTTGTAAATAAATTCATACGTCTGTCCACCCTTTGACATCTGTYAGTCAAAAATGTCCAATAACTGATTTTCCTGATAAAAAAAATTATCTTGTAAATCATGACTTTTATGGTAAAAGTCCCAGCCAACATGAACTTTAAATTCTTTTTATTGAGTTTAATTAAAAATTTAATGAGTTCATTTAATGACAGGATGAACATAATTAACCCTGATTACTTCTTTTTTTATATTAATTAATCAGGTTTAATTATGTTCATCCTGTCATTTAATAAACTTGTAAAAATATTATCAAACTAAATTGAAAAAAAATTAAGTTTATGTTGGCTGGGACTTTATAAAAAAAAAAAACACACTGGAAGTTGGAGACTAAAATAGGATAAAAATTACACACCGAGATATGGCATCCTATATCCTATTTTTTCTGCTCTGCTCTGAGGGAGGAATATTTAGACAGGATTTAAGCCCCATTCAGGTGCATCAYCAAACGCATCATCAGCCCACCTCYGAGCCCATTGGACCACACCTCTGAGATCACCGTGACCACGTTTCTATGAATATCCTCCAACGTCTGGAAGGCTTCCAGGACCCAGAAGCCCAACCCGACGAAGACGATGTGTGGATCAGCCACAAGCAGCGACGTTTAACTGCAGAGACTCTGATAAACATGACTGGATTAACGCCAACGCTTTTAGAACAGCTCTAAATCTAATTAACCTAAATGTCCCATCAATGAACACGGGCCTGAAAGCAGGAGTGTATTTTTACCTTTTGGTATATTTGTTTTTGTTTATTTTTTGCCTAAGAGGATACTTCAGGATTGTTGAAGCGGGGTCATGTGGAGCAGTTATAAGAAGTTAGTGTCTTGCCTGCAGTAGACAGTCGTTAAGAGTGATCTCTGTATAAAAAAATCASTGAGAAATTCTCAGGGGGAAGACTCTCTGTTGTCCAGGACGTGGTAAATAAATAAAAWATATATATAAAACATGTGGGAGTCTTGAGCCCGTAGAAAACAGGAAGAGCAATTTTGCCCAAAATTGCTCTTCCTGTTTTCTATTTCTGTTAACTTAAGATCTGTCATTTAAACATGTTTGGTATTCACCGAAAAGACAGAATCTTGGCTAATAGAGCATGAAAAATAAAGCATTTCTACATTCACCAACCTTCAACTAGTTTCTTATTTAGCAGATTAGCTTTTTTAATGCTAACTTTGAAAATCGCTGAATAAAGTTTGGCTAATTTTAAGTGTTAAACTTCTATTTTTATGCACTTTATCCCGAATCAAACAACAAATATTGGTCTTATTAGCAGAGCTGGACATGTCAGGCACTATGTAGCATGTAGCATCTTTAGCAGCTAAACTTTAAAGCTTTAAGGAATAATATTTAAAGGGGCAATATTATGTGTTTCTCAGGCATATGTTTAAATACTATACCATAATAAAGTATCTGTGTCACCT